AAAAATTGTCATATGATTTAATTTTTTACAACAAATAAAATTAAATAAAATTGAAGTATTTATCAATGTATCTATGTAGGATAAGATACTAAGAAATTATTTAATGACCAGATTATGAAATTACGACTGTTATTAATCCGTATGGTGTAATGGAAATTAACAATGTTAAAAATAATACGATAATAAATCTATTCACTTTGATAAACATATACAATTTTAATTAATTTTTTCATTAAGTTACATGACGATATTTGCACCATCACTTAGACCACAGGCACAATCAACTGATTACAAAAATATCATCATTAGTAATAGTTTCTCATATTTGCTCGTTTGGCTGTAGTGAGCACTTGAAGTTTGAGAGATTTATTTATAATTAATATTTTATTGAATAACATTTTATACAGTTTTTGAGCTAAGCTATGAATGTATTGATTTTACAATGACATCATGTGTTTTCAATTTTTTTAATTTCTGTGTCTGTCATCGTCGTTTGGGGCAGCAAAACAGCTTCTTAAACAGTTTCTAGTTCAATGAGAAAGTGAATCTATTTGGTGCATTCGGGAGGTCAAAATTGAAATTCCCAATACCTACCTGGTTTTAAAAAGCGCAGGGAGAAACTAAAATCAATTATGAAAAGACGGAAAATTTTTACGCGAAATCGATTTTTGGTCTAATTCTAAAACAAATTATCGTAGATACCTGATGGATGAATTTTTTATTTAATATTAATATTAGAATTTTCTTTTCATAAAAAATTTTCAAAATATTTTTACTTGTTTTTAGCTGTTGACGGAAATATTCAGTTTTCAATTTATTTTTCAATGATTGTCAATAAAATTTTATTCGTTGGGTCAAAAAGCTTGAAAAATTAATACAATGCTCCTAATATATTATTATTACAATGACAGTTGAGAAATATAAAAATTCAGTCAGTTTTTTATAATCATTTAAAGTTTGAATTTTTACGAAAGGCGTAAACAGCACGAACATTTCCAAATTATTTTGAGTTAGAAATACATTAAAATTTTTATATTTACATCCAAAGTTTAAAAATTTAATACAAGATTCCTTATAAGTAGTCTACCTTTATCAAAAACATGTAATTTTTCAACATTGGATATTCACTCGAGTTTTCATGTAGAGGTTTTCTTATTTTGTTGTAATTCAAAAACGAATAACAGTAGCCAGCAGGTACTTGAAATTTACACCATAAACATATTATGTTGATTTTATCAATTTCCATACTTGATAAAATGTTCAAAATATTATGATTAGTTTTGAATCATAAATACTTTTACTTGTTTTGAGCTGTTTACGGAAATGTTTAGTCTCCAATTTTTTAAATTTTTTTTTTATAATACTACCTTGCGGTATTTGCAATTTAGCAATTGCAATTGAGCCTCTACAATCATACTCCTATATACCGTGTGTTCAATTTTAAAGGTAACAGGAAATATTTCGATCGTTTGGCCTTGAATTTGATTCGGGGTTTTTATACTGCATATAGGACTTATAAATACATATTTTTTTAATAAATTCAATTTTTTTTTTTTTTTTATCAGCGCATGCGCAGTAAAATAAAAATTTCTTAAATAGCAACCACTATTTTGGAGACCGGATTTCGATTTCTTTATTTTTTCTGAACAACTTTGATCTTTACAGTTTGTTGATATCTTCAAAATTGCCATGTTTATGACGGTCGGAAGTTTTAAAATAGTTAATTCGTAAATAATTGTGTGGTGGATGATATCTCTCGGGATATCGTTCAGCATAAAGTGCCGCTGCGTTACGCGAATTTTGATGACATTCTCCAAAAATTAATACCATATCGGTTTTTTTCGGAATAGTTTGCCATTGTACAGAAAATAATGTGTCACGCGCGACTTACGAAAAACGTTTGACTATTCACAATCAATTTTAGAATGCTATCAAAATATCTTATTCACACAGGTTAATAGTATAACTTTCATTATAATACTATTAAAAACAAATTAAGATAATAGTAGTAGATAATTTAGTAGTTTTAATAAAAATAAATTGTTATAATAATACCTATAAATACCTATAAATTAAGCAGTGGCGTATTTAGGATATGACGGTATTAGGATTTGACGGATATGTGTGGTATAACAGAGAATTTAACACTGTTATTTTATAATTAAAATATCTAACATAAATATTACTATGTATTTTCCATTGAAATTGACTATCAATGTGTAAACCTAAGTATTTAATACCATCCATTTTTCCAATATCTGTACAGTTATAAGCAATTTATAAAATTATTAGCTACACATAATCCTAAATGATTAATAATTTTAAAATCGTTTTTAAAGGCAAAATTTTTGTATGTTGAAGACAATGTGTTTAGTTAAGTTCTAGGAAGTTAACTTCGTTAATCAGTTTCAAAAACATACATACTACATACATATTAATATCAATTGTAAATTCATCAGAATAATATTATCATATAAGCAGTATAAACTTAGAATTTGCATCTACTTGACTATAATCTATAGATTATATTTGATGTATAAGGCAGTGGCGTATTTAGGAATTTGTCATGGGGAGGGTCCAGATAATTTTCAGAACACAGAGCCACGGGGGACGAATTTACTCTTTATTAAATAAAATATACCATATTATTTATAAGACGATATAAAATTGTCGAATTTTTAATTATTAAATAATAATATGTACAAAACAAATTTAAAAAAAAGCGGGTGAGTGGATGTCACTCTGCTGCTGTACAGTAGGTTACAAGTGGGTCAATGTATAATGGATTGTATTAAATTTGAACTCAATGATATAATATCATAATATCATTGTATAAGAAAAACGATTCTGAGCGAAGACGGTTTGTCAGTCTGGATATTTTATATTGTTATTATTTATTATAGCATGTTAGTTAAATTAATAATGATTAATGAAATACTTTTATTTTTTATTTTTTTCTATGGTGATAGACAAAGTGTTAGAAATTAAAATCCCATTTTTAGTGGTTTTTCGTAATTTTTTGGTGGTTTTTACAGTGGCATTAAATAACTATTGAGAAAATCGAAAAATGACCTCTCTAAGATAGTAATCTTGATCCAATTTTCTAAAAGATAAGTTACTATATGTCTATACATGTTGAAATCGAAGCACTCCTTCTGGAAGAAATTTTGTATACAGGAAAAAAAAATAAACACCATTGTAGAACCAATAGATCCCTCAGAATCGAATATATAGTTATATGTTATAACTTTTATACAAATATTTCCTTAATTATACATTAGGTACCTACTTCATTCATAGTTGATCTTAGATAGCTTTTCAACCTTAAAAAGTTTGAAAAAGATCTATCTGGAGTGGTTGTAGATACTGGCAATCCGGGCAATGCACAAAACTACAAAATATTTGAATTAAAAATGAATTTGGTATTTTTCAACCATTTTCGGTACCCAACCGATAAAAATAATCACGATATTTATTGAAAATGTTGATATAACTATAGCTTCGAACATTTTTTATACAATCCGTAAAATCGTATGATAAAATTTGTTTTTTAATCATGTAAAAACTGCATAACATTTAACATGTACGAGACACGAGTCAATGGGAGGGGTCCGGACCCCATGGACCCCCCCCCCCGTAAATACGCCACTGAAATTAAGATAGACCGTTGAAAAATGCAATATTTACAAATTAACTGTTTTAAAACTTCCGACCGTCATAAACATGGCAATTTTGAAGATATCAACAAACTGTAAAGATCAAAGTTGTTCAGAAAAAATAAAGAAATCGAAATCCGGTCTCCAAAATAGTGGTTGCTATTTAAGAAATTTTTATTTTACTGCGCATGCACTGATAAAAAAAAATTAAAAATTTGAATTCATTAAAAAAATATGTATTTATAAGTCCTAAATGCAGTATAAAAACCCCGATTCAAATCCAATGTCACAAGATCGAAATATTTCCTGTTACCTTTAAAATTGAACACACGGTATGGTATTCAGGAAAAAATATGCGCTGAAAGTAAAATAAAAGCCCTGGAAAAAGCTTTGATTAGTTTATTATTTTTTATTAGTTACTTTTTTAATGACATATTAGATGTAATTTTTTCTTTATAATTGATAAAATACCAAAATATATTAATTAGCAAAATAAATAAACTACAAATGTTTGATTATACCTACCAATCTAACTTAAGTAGGTATTATATTTTTAATATTATACTATCGTCTATTTTCCTATTTTATATTTTTATTTCCATTTTATATGATGGTTTACAAAAATTTTAAAAATATTATATTGGTACAATTATTACATAAATATTTTATAATATATTAGGTATATTATACAGTTATAATAAACGTATTTAAAGCAAGACACTACATTATGTTGAAAACAGTGTTAAGTACATATAATTAGGTATATAAATATAAATAATATTATAAATATATATTATTTGCATATAATTTAGAAGAAGAATTAAAAATTAAAATATTCCAACAAAATATCACCTTTAAAATAATGTATTACTTATGGGTCTACGTCGTAGACTCTACGATCATTAAAGAACTCGTAGCACTTGAAATACGATCACATTACTTTTAATTCTAAAAGACGTTCTCGTTTTGGTGTGGCATCCTCTTAAAAGATAAAACTAATTCAATGTTTTAACTTTTAACTAGTATTAGGAATTATAAAAACACTTTGTTGGGCATTTAGGTAATGTTTATTTTATACTTACACATCACTTAAAACATTAAACCATTAATGAGATCATTTAGAATACATTTATAAAAAATATTGACAGAAAAAATAAAGTATTCTATTAATTTCACATTAATAATATAAAATTAGATTTAAGTATTTAACTTAAAATGTTACTAAAAAATAGTTATTTTTTTTATATAAATCACATTTAATAACTATAATCATTAGGTTTATATTTGATATATATATATACATTATATAAAATAAAATATGCTGAATCAGACAATAATTAAATATTAAATCATAGGTGGTAGGTCTACTTTACTCTGCTTGTGTGCAAATGTTAAAAATGTAAGTGATGAAACCGCACTTACTAAAAATATAACATCAAACCAGCGATGGTAAAAACTAAACTGTAGATCACCAAGTACTTCTGTAATGATAGCTCTATACTCGGCTGGCATATTCATACGCATTAATAATACAGATGATACAAAATACATGCCCATAAGTTGGGCAAATATTAATACAATAATATTTGATGATTTACTGCTCGAAAGTGCATAGAAAAACTTTGTTAAAGTTAAGAGGAGACCTCTTATTGATGTGAATGCGATACAACCGACCAATAAAAATGATACATGTTGTGACCAAAATGATACATCAACATCAATGCCAACCAATTCAACTAAAATCTCCATTCCTCTAGTAACTGGATCTTTTTTCCCCACTCTTTGTAACATTATATTTAAGGTGGATATGATTATTTTCCAGACACAATATAATGAGAAAAAATAACCTAGGAAATTGAAGTATTTCCCTTTCCATGTTTTGGCCCAAGCAGTTCGCTCCAGAGTGTTGTTCAGGTCATGTGTGTCCAAAAATAAATGTCTACTAAGCTCTTCTAATGCTTTAATATCGCTTTTAATTCCCCTTAAATCACTGGATACATTTGACTTGACTCTTTTTAACATATCCATAAATCCAAAAGTACTCACGCCAGCATTGGTTTCTGCCAATAAAATTTTTTTTTTCTTAGCTGTAATGACATCAATTGTTTGAAGAAGTTGTTTTTCCACGTTTATGACATCATCTCCGGTTACTGCTTTAATAAAATACGCCATTGAAGAATAAGGGTAGTTAACAGCACCAAAACCAGATAATAATGCCATAACTGTTACACCGATGACGCCAATTCTGCTAATACAGTTTTCTATAAATAAATGGCCTTTTTTTTCTTGTGGCAACATAGGAAATGGGTCACCCATTTTCCAAAATAAGAATAAATACAATATCCAAATAACTGAAGCCAAAATTCCAACTTTCTTTTGAAAAAATGGATACATATTACTCAAAGTAAAATAACATAAGTAAAATGGTATAAGTACAACAACCATAAATAACATTTTGTAAAGTATTATATTCCAAAATATATAGCGAGAGCTGGGTTCCAGTATACCAACAATTTCGAATATGATTAATTCAAACATTGTACAGGATAAACAGAAAGTGACTGAGAATATTAGTTGAATGGTTTTGTGATGCACTTCATAGTCTTTAAATAGTTTCTTGACAAAATACACCCAACCACACATAAGGAAAACAGTCTGTGATAATAAAATCACCAAGATATCAAACACAAAATGTGTACTGAACTCCATTTCACAGTTGATGTTAGTTTAATTCAAATGATTTACATTACTGTTTTGCTATGTCCACATTATTTTCATCCACATTATCCCATCATCCGACATTGCATTCATATAAACCATCAGTATCAACGTGGTGGACATAAGAACACTAGAATAAATTAAGAAAAAGAAATTTTAACATTATATTTTAAGACAATAAAAATAAATGATGATCAATACAAATGTTACAGTAGAATAGTAGTTATAGACACACATTTACAATAGGCAGACAGTATACACTCATTAAATAGTTACCAAAATTCATGAGTGATAAATTAACATAAAATAATAGCCTAAATATTCTATGAAAAAGATTTTATTCATTGTCAGTTCAATAAATAACTTGGTGGCATAATTTTTAGTGTATTAATTTAACTGTCAATGATTTCTTATAATTATAGGTAGTATTTAGGTTCTATGTTATTATGTATCCTCACCCAATAATTTGATATTTTGGCTTGAAGTGAAAACGAACGTTAAGTTCCAATAAATGTCATGGTTTCATCATAATTATCTAAATTGTATGATTATCAATTAATAAATAAAAACTAAAACTCCCGTAAACTGTATAGTTCTATACATTGAGAATTTAGATTGAATAAAATAATTAATAACTTTTAAAATTTTAAATTTCACACGTAACTTTTTCCATAAGATGATAAGAAATATTTATATTCATTTTTGATAATTTGATATCTGATAAAAGACCGTGCTCGGGTGCTCCTAATTATAGGTACCTAGCTGATAATACACGAACACACAGAGTATCATAGTGGAGGGGGCGCGAAATTTGAAAACATGCTACGTTTAGTCATTTTACTTTTCTCCTTATCATTGATCAAATTTCATCAGTGTTATCAATCATTTTTATCATATTTTTTGAAAGACTGATATTATATTTTTATTTACATTTTTCATTTATATTTATTGTGAATTTTTGTAATACTAAATAAGACAAAGAAGAAAATAGCAAAACTAACAACAACAACTTAGGTAGGTATTAATGTATTATATAACATTATTATTAACATTATTATATAACATTATTATTTTGATTATTATTAATTTTTGGAAGTGAATATGGATGTTATTAATTAAGGAAAAAATGTATGTAAGTTAATTTATTGTAATTATGACATTTATTAAATATTAGATATTATTATACTAGATTGATTTAGGGTACTTTGTAAATAGTTACTTTATAATGAATAGTGAATACCGCCTTCACTAGTCAGTACATACACTTGTGAAAATTAGTAATTACTTTATTAAAATAATTTTAATAAATTAAAAAAATCACAATAATAATATGAGTATAATAAATAAAAACATAATAATAGCATATATTAATTATTATCACCTTCATTGTAAATCAATCTAGTCTAGAAAAAATATAAAATATAAATGAAAAATGAATAATAAAATATAAAATAAAAATATAATATTAGTCTTTCAAAAAATATGATGATATTATATGATAACCTAACCTAATGTAGATATTATATAATTTGGACAGGAGAAAAATTATAAGTAAAAAGTACTACCTAAAACTTGTTGAAGCCACTATACATTTATTGGATACTATACATATATATAAAAAAAACTTTTGAATACAATTTTTTAATCCATTTATACATCAATCACAACCAGATTTTTACTCAAATTTCGAGGTAGATACCTTTAAAAAATTAAACAAAAATAATACCAACACCAACATTAATAATACATTCAAAAATTCACAATAATAATACGAGTATAATAAATAAAAATATATAAAATATAATAGCATATATTAATTATTGTCACCTTCATTGTAAATCAATCTAGTCTAGAAAAAATATAAAATATAAATGAAAAATGAATAATAAAATATAAAATAAAAATATAATATCAGTCTTTCAAAAAATATGATAAAAATGATTGATAACACTGATGAAATTTGATCAATGATAAGGAGAAAAGTAAAATGACTAAACGTAGCATGTTTTCAAATTTCGCGGAGGGGGCTTCTTAAATTGACAACGAAAATGTTTTCAAATTTTGGGAGAATATCATAGACGATACTGTAGAGCAGTGTTGCCGATAGTACGGTATTTGTCGGGGGATTACGGTAATTTCATACTCCGTACGGTCGGAGTACGGTCAACCAAAAATGGGTCAAATAGTACGGTAAATTCAAAAAAAAAAAATTAGCTTTTCATCATATTTGTTATAAATATTTTGTATTTGATTTTATTTTTGTATCAATTCTATATATTGTATAATATTGAACTTCGAACCTGACCCAGACTTTTGATCGTGATATTATGTGAGCTGGACTAAGATGGTGCTCAGTTTCTCCCTAGTTAGAATTCCCATAGAATTCCATAGAATTCCCCATAAAAGAAAACAGAGTTTATCTAATAACCCCAAACCTTGGGTGAAACTATCATAATAATTAACTATAATTTTTGATTTTAAATATCATGTAATTTTTGTTTTTGAATTTTTTATCATGTTGTCTGTAATTCATAAGGGCTGGTTATTTTATTAATTTACATTTATTTTAACAACTACATAAAATCATCAATTAAAAATAAATTAATTCATCAAAATGTTTGAATAAAATAATAAATTGTTTAATATCTAAGTACGCGACCGCTGCAGGCAGAATAATGCAATATCCGACGGTAAACCACGGTATTCGTATTAAGATGATAATTAAAAATCACGGGGCCCTTTAATAGGGACGTTCCGATATTATCGATATAAGTAAAGTATCGATATTTTTCTTTCGATACGAGTACTTTTTTTATCGATATAATTGTTTCAATACTATATTCATATCGATAACAAATTACTAGTATCGAATCATTTTTTTGTTATCTCTTATCAGTTTTCATTATCAGTTATCACTTATCAATATGAGATGACAATAATTAAATTATATTGACTGATAGTGTTATAGACGTTATAAATTAAATTTAAATTTAAATTAATAATTATAAATTATAATGGCGCCACCAAAAAGTGATGTTTGGATTTTTTTCAAAAAATTGGATAAAGAATATGCGATGTGCAATGATTGCCTTAAAAATGTTGCGCATAGTGGCAACACATCAAATTTAAGGAAACACATGATGACCAGACATCCAAATTTATTAAAAAACACTAATCCGACAACATCTCAAAAAAAACAGTCAAAATTGGCATCTTCAAAGAAGTAAGTCGTTTTTTTTAAAAATAATTTTTACTTTTAAATTGTGAAAGTTTAAAGTAGGTATTTTAATTATGTATTCATCCTAATACAAACTAATAATATTTCTACAGTAACAAACGGTCATCTGAGCCCGCCCCGTCTACATCCATTGGAAGTCCAAAGACTCTTACATTTTCATTAGAAGATTCTGAACCAGAAGTACTTATCTAATTATTAAAAATGAATAACATTAGCTATTAGATTTCATGTGTGAATTAATGTATACTGATTATGTGTTATAGGAATGTGTGGATTGTCCACTTTCAGAAGAAAAGACAACATTAGTTTTAAAGCAACCTATTGTCGAAGCTTTTAATCGAATTAGCTCTTATTCTGGTATGTTAATTTTAATTATAAACAAATTACTGTTACAAATTACAAACTACTGCACTAGTGTACACTGATATCACACCACACTGGTGGACCCGAGTACTACCAGTACTACACTACATTAGTGTATGATAAATGATAATGAAGTAATTAATATCTATGTATGGCTTGAAATAAATGATAATGAAGTAATTAATATCTATGTATGGCTTGAAATATGATAATACAATTCATAATGCATGCTTTATCATTTATCAGTATTGTCAGTATCACATAATTATCGACACCTCCAAAACGCTACCAGTGTACACTAGTGCAGTCAGATGGAAAATGCTATTAGATAAATCAAAGATAGAATGGCAAGATAAGAATGGTTTTAAATATTTTTTTATTAGATTTTTTTTTTATTAATGACTGATCAATGATCTTTATTTGTGAAATTATTTATACATTAAAATTGAATGACCTATTTTTTTATTAATGACCAATTATATAATTTATTTATAAATTCTATGATATTATTATTTAATATGCAATGTAATGCAATACAAGAACGATAATTAAATTAAGAAAATTATACCGATTGACCATTGCTATACATTTTTTTTTCATTCGATACTTACTCATATCGATAAAATTGTTTCGATATTTTACTAATATCGATATTTGTTTTCGATACTAGTACCAAGTAAAAGTATCGATACTTCCTTTCGATATCCCATCCCTACCCTTTAACAAGCGCGGGGCCCTGGACAAATGTCCCATTTGTCCTCTCCTAGCGCCGGCACTGTCCATAACCCTGAACCCATTATAAGTTTTTACCTGAAGATTGTTAATTGTTATTTGTTATTAATTTTTAATAGGTTTTAATGGTTTTATAAATATTTGATAAGAATTTGATAAGAATTTGATAAGAATTTGATAAGAATTCGGATAAGAAATTATAACTGATAACCATGCTGATAACCTAAAAAATCAATAAGTACGGTAATATTGTTCAAAGTACGGTAATTTTGTCATATTTTCCCCGCTGACTAGATAACAAACATTGGCAACGCTGCTGTAGAGGTGTCCGGGTAGATTTTTTACCAACAAACCGGGTACCGATTATTGTTAAAACCGAGTCTCGGGTACTGGTCGAGTAATTAATAATAATGTCTTTTAAAAGATAAAACCTAGTCGAAACTTGATGGAAATTATCTGTTAACTGTTTGAATGTGTGTTTTGTATGATGGTTAAATTTTTTAGAAAGTTTTGCATAATATGTATCGCAAAATTTATATATTTTTGTTTGATCGATTGCGGGGGCACATTTTTTTTTAAATAATAAATTAATCGGGTACCGGATATATTGCAAGGAAAAAATGTAACTGTACACCAGTCCGGGTACCGGGTACTGTCCAAGTCAACTTTTAATTACACGCCGGGTACTGAATATGATATCGGGTACCTGGCTTGGACTTGTTGGCCAGGTACCCAGAACACCTCTAGACGATAGACTTAATACTTAAGATATCTTAGTAGTTGATATATTATATATTCTATAAGGAGAACAGTTCAATATTATATTTTACTACCGAACTAAAAACAATCAGTTCAGTGTAATCGTTACACTTCAGTTTTTATAAGTAGCCTAATACTATTTAATTTAGTATAAACTATATGAGTTAGAGACGCTTTCAGTGGTGGTAGAGGCATAACAAAAAAGAGTGCCTTCACCCACGATACAAAATACAAATATCCCACATCCCACCCATGTCCCATGTCACTCAATATACTATTTAAAAGCGTTTAAAATTCAATGTTTTACAAAAATTACGAAACTGAAAATTATTTTGAACTTTAAAATGTATACAAATTACAATTTGTATATAAACACTTAAGACTTCAAACTATAACACAATATGTCAAGTTTCCTTGTTTTTTCCTGGAAAAAAAAAAAAAAATTAAGGTGTAAAGCCACAAACATTTCTGATGTCAATATTTTGATAAGAATATGATATTCATTTGGAAAAACAAAGATCAATTGTGTTGTAATTCGAAAAATACTATTCGTAGGGATAAATATTGTATAAATATATAAATAAATGATATAATATCCCCCACAATTTACAAATACAGGCTGACAGACTAAACTTTACCACCAAGAATCGTTGTTCGCATGAAATCATTGAATTCAACACTTCTATCATAATGACGAGGAACACGCATACTCAGCACCTACTCTAGAGCAGAGCATTTCCCTAGTTTGTTCAACTGCTAATGAGTTCTGGTAGGTGAAATATGAGTATTAGTGAATGTCTTAGTTGAATTAAAAACAAAATTCAATAATTACTCAACTTTTCTTTAAAGGAAATATAATGCCTTAATTGTGTCTTCACAAACAATTAAATTAAAACAAAATAGTGTTTGATTTTTTAAAAACAATTTATAAAGTCTCTGTAGATAGTAGATAATGGGAAAGTTGGGTCAATGTTTTGTATACTATTTTACCATAATATTATGTAAGCACAGTATTAAGGCATAAATTAAATAATGTATACAAAATTGAATAAGAATTTTCAAATACTATATAAAGATATATTTTCTGAATATATTCTTTGATAATATTCAGTTTCAATTTAAATTATTGAGTTTATAAGGCAAATTTAATTAAATACTCAATGTCTGTTTTTTTATGATAAAAGTATATTAATATGGATGGTTAATATAATTTACATAAATTTAAGAAGATAAAATCATCATTTGCGGATGGTGCTTAAATTTATTTCAACTTAAAAACTATTTTTATTTAGCTTTCAAATATTTACCAAATTAAATATAAAATAAATTGTATTTCTAGCAGATATTACTGATACTTTTTACAATATTACAAAGTATAAAAGTAATGTTTAATATGTATATAATCATAATAATAGAAATGCTATTGTTTATAAATGACAATTATCATATTTTTTTGTTAACACTGTAAATACATCTCTTACCGGCATGATATAATGATAATGTTCTTTTTTACTAATACAATTATTTATAATGGTTTATAATCTAATTTAGATTCCAAATTCTTATTATCTGATACTTTTCTTACAGCTTTCATGAAATCTTCATGAGTTACATAATCTTTTTCAGCACGTATAGCAAAGAGACCTGCCTCTGTGCACACATTACGCAAATCAGCACCATTAAAATTATCAGATAATTTTACAATAGCTTCATAGTCTAAAAAAGTTTTAAATAAATTATTAAAAAAATCACAATTTTTTATAAATTATGAATAGAGCATCTCTTTTTTAAATTAGAAAGGAAATATAATGTATTTGTACTAAAAAAAATTCTCTTGATTTCTACTTTCTGCTACTTGATGGTCATCAACCTCATCAAAAAATTGTCAGATTTGCTTATGTGCCATGAGGCATTTATTGATGAATATTCAAATAAGAATAAAAATTAAGTTAGTTTCAATATTGATTAAGAATTGTATAATTATTACATCAATAAATTTTGTTAAGCCAAACTTTTTTTTAAAAATAAAATAAATATTTTATTGACATTTTATGCAATAGTAATTCAAGTTATTGGTGATTTATGGTATGAAAAAATATATTAAATTTCCCTTTTAACTATATATCACGTCCGATAAATGTAAAGTAAATACGTACCAATCTCTCCTTGTTTAGTTATAGGAGCCGCATGTATTTTCAAAATGTCCAAACGAGCTTGTTCATTAGGCAATGGAATTTCAATTTTACGATCCAAACGTCCAGGTCTTAATAAAGCGGGATCTAATGTATCGGGTCGATTAGTAGCCATTATCATTTTAACCTGATAAGTAATTATAATACACAAATAATTAGGTTATTTCAAAAATAAATAATAAATAATTACATACTTGACCTAATGAATCAAACCCATCCATTTGATTCAAAAGTTCCATGAGGGTTCTTTGAATTTCACGATCAGCAGATGTTCCTTCAGAAAACCGACGACCACCAATAGCATCAATTTCATCCATAAATATGATACATGGTTGATGATCTCTAGCATAATTGAACATCTCTCGAATGAGACGAGCACTCTCACCAATATATTTATCAACAATTGCACTTGACACAACCTAAATAAAAAATTTGATTTTTATTAAGAATTTAGAAACATTTAAATTAGGTATGCAGAATAACTTGATAATTATATTTTGTATATAGTAACAGATTAAACATTATTTTTATTTTATACAATGTAGTATGTACCATACATTCAAACAGTTATAATAGGTAATTTTGTTAGTTTAATATACATTAATAATAATAAATAACTTACTTTTAAGAAATTGGCATCTAGTTGACTAGCTACAGCTCTAGCCAGTAATGTTTTTCCTGTACCTGGAGGTCCATAAAGTAAGCATCCCTTAGGAGGAGTTATTCCAACACGTTGAAACAATTCTGGATTTAACAATGGTAATTCGATAACCTAAATATATTAATGCTATTAGACTAAATTAATATAACATGAAAATATTATAAAATATACTTCTCGCAGTTCACGGATCTGTTCAGATAATCCACCAATAGCTGAGTATGTAACTTCACCAGGATCTTCATGAGACATTTTATAAACCAATGGATCTACTTCACGAGGCAAATAACGCATTACGGTCAATGTAGTCATATCTAATGCCACACGAGTACCAGCTTTTAATTTTGCTTTATCGAGTTGACGTCGACATCCAACTACATACCGTGGGCCATTTGTTGCTTTTACAATAACTAGTTAATTAATATCATAATTAATAAATATTTTTACCACCAATTTCAATTTAAAGAAACTTACACTTGTCTTCAGTCAATTGCTTTAAAACTTCACCTACAATCTACAAACAATAATTTAAGATAAGTTCTTGGTTTTAGTGTTTTTAGTGTGGATAAAATGTTTAACTTACTTGACCAACACTCTGGAGCGCTTTTAAGTCATTTTCAGATTTATCGTACTGTTTTGTAAGCTCTTTTGCTTGTTCTCGCACTGTAAAGTTAACAAATATTATATCAAATACTACATTATACACAAGCCTTATTAAAACTAATTACCTAATTGAATTTAAAAAAAAAACAGTTATTACTTATTATATTATGATAAACATAATTTACAAATATATTAATATATAAATATATTTATTTTCATTATTAAAAGCATATTGTACTAGAATAGGTATATACATTTATTCTAAATAATGTTATAATATAGTAGCACAGAATATAATAATAGTAGGTAGCTTGGATGTTATGTATGGTTTATTTGAACACAAGCAATAATTTTTTTCGGAGTACAGCATTTTAGCTTAACCATGGTTTAGTCAATCTAAATTTATCTAGGTATTAAATAGTTCTAATAAGTATAAATTGTAAGTTGAAAACTGATTTTTTTAATGATCCTATACAAATATTACACACCTATTAGCATTGATCATGAATACTATAGTATTCATAATCAATGGTATTATTAACAACTAATAAAATAATTATATTATATTAATATATTATTACATATTTGTATTAAATCTTTATTGTATAATCTATATTTAAAATTATTCAATGGTCTTTAATATTTTTATTAGTATTATAATTATTTTATGAAACATACTGATCATAAAATATATCTATGGTGTACGACACATTTACTTAATAGCTCTTAACAGTGTGACGATACATATTAAAAATCTTTATTCTTATTAAGATTGGTTGAGCAAATATTTTTAAAAATGCTTTTAAATTGATATCTGTTAATACTAATTAGTATTTACAGCATTCAAATTTAATACATAATTGTTCTGTTACTATTATCAAAATATGAGTGAAATTAAAAATAAATACATTTGTTTAAATAAAAAGGCTCACAGTGAAAATAATATTATATATATACCACACAAGCAATAATAGCAACAAATATACTATTTTACTTACTTCCTTTCAGACGACTAGAAATCTCTTTATGTTCAATAAGTTTCTTACGATTCTCCTGTAGAATCTTTTCCCTCACAGGGTCAACTGGAATAACCGATGTCATGTTGGGGTAATTAGTTGGTTAGTTAATATTGATTAGTAATTATTATAAGTTTAACAGAAAAAAACAATTAAATAGACAGAAATTTAAATGTAAGGATGGATACTGATTCTGTATTTTTGAGAAATATTCTAGCGTCTCACCATTCTTGGTTTGTCTTATCATGATGACTAGCACAAAAACATAACTCGGAAGGTTAATGGTTACAATAGTTAACCATGGTAGATAATATATACTCTATACTCTTTGGAAATGATAAAATCGTGAACATCATATTATTATTATTATTATAAATAATATGCCCTATAAATTATAATCATGACTATAATAAAATCTTATTTGTCAATTTATTATTGTCTTGTCATGCCCATGTATATTTTGTCATGGTCATGCCTATAATAATTAATATTATGGTTCATATATTATAATATGGAACCACGAATTAAAATAATATTTTATTGACATTTTACTCATTTTGGTACATTTTAATTCGTTTATGGAACGAATTAAACATTTGAACGTATGTATTCGTCCGTTCATAGGCGGAAATCCATTAACATTTCAGGGGAGCTAACATTATTTTCATAAATATGAGTGGGGGGGGGGGCTTGACGGACTTTTGGAGGGGCTAAGCCCCCGTAAGCCCCTCGATCACCGCCTATGCATGTATAAATTATAATTATAATTAAATTATTATAATTATAATGCATTTTGTATCACAGACTTCTAAAATCTAAATGCTTAAACACGAAGACGTGAATCTTGATTCCTGAAAGCTGAAGTGTAGTGTGCGTTTTGTGCACTATGACAAAATAGATTTCGTGATGGAGTATTGGTGGCACACCATATTCAAAAACAAGGGAGGGGCTTCTGGGGCTAACCCCCTCCCCCAAACATTTCTTACATTTTGTTTTAAGCTTATTCAATATGATCAAAGTAAGGCTTTAGCCCCCCAAATTCCAAACGCTATTTGCGCCTATTGTGCACACCTCGTCAACTCCCCAACATGAAGACTATTATATAGACAAAGCTGGGCACTAACTAGTTAGAAAGTTGAAGTTAACTAGTTAGTTTTAATTCATATTAACTTTATAACTTAACTAGTTGAATTGAATGTGTACAATACTAAAATAGTGTAATCTAACTCATTAGTTTTTTTTCTAACTAGGTAATTATTATTATTTTTTTCTTTCCAAAATGAATATTTTAATTTCAATTAATATATTAAGTTGTCATACTTATATATGTATTATATATATATTTTTTTTTTGTTTCACCCTCTATGTTCTAATAACTGATAAGTTGAGAACTTCTAATAAGTCGCACTCCTAGAACAAGACTGCCACAACTCAAAATTCATGAATTTTGAGTTATGACTACTTTTGGATAGAGAAAAATAAGCTCTTTTAAATGCAAGAACGCCACATTCAATATCATTTTTCATTTAGCCACTATAGAGATGTGTCTGTATTGAATTATTTAAATATTGGTTAATTTTCAATGCAAGAGAGCCATATTTACTTTATGGCAGTATACTTATTTTTATTTATCCAAATTATCACTGAAGTCAAAATTCAAGACTGCCTTATTTCGACTTGTGGCGTTCTTGCACTGAATAAAAACTAATTATCGTGTAATATGTTGAGTGCAAAACAGCAATATTTAGAGTTGTGGCAGTATTGCATTTTATAATTTGTGATAGTGCAGCCACAACACGAATTATGACTCTATTGTATTTATAAATAGAATAGCTTTTCGTTTTGCGCCAAATTCTCATATAGTCGCATCTCAAAATATGGCAGTCTTGCATTTACTTAAAAAATTGTTAATGGCCACAAGTCTAAATTTTTGGGTTTAAGAGTGAATTTCAAAATATTTGAAAAATTAATATTGTAAAGTATGGTTGTAAGTATTTAAGTGTTAAATTTCAAACGCATAAGTAAAAAATTCATTAAAATATCTTAAGTCCAAACTTCAAATTGATTTTTCTCAAAACTATAAATTTTGAGTTGTGACAGTCTTGTTCTAGGAGTGCGAAGTGGTGTACTAATTAATTTCCAATTAATTGAAATTATTACTTACGTAATTAGAACATTTTGATCAAATTACTAGGTGTTTAATTCAATTTCTCAGTTTTAATCTATAAAAATAAACTAACTTCTAACTTCTACTCTAACTTAAGTTACTATTTTCACCAAACTAACTTACAACTAATTTAGAAGTTTGGACAGTTTCAGAAACTAACTCATATTCTAACTTAATTAGTTTTTTTATTAAAGTAACTTAACTCCTACTAGTTGAAAAAAATGATTAACTTGCCAGCGTTGATTATATACAGATATTAATTAAAATTAAAATTAATATAATATTATTTTGTATAATACAGAGTTTGGTCGTATAGACTATAAATTATAATATAGTATATTATATAGCAGTCTTAGAAGATTTTCTATATTATATAATATATAATATATATCCATGTTGAAATGTTGAATGTTCAAAGCTGTGCCGTAACAGAGACTACTTAAGGCCTGTGTGAGCAAACCAAAATATAGAGGCACCTTATTATCTTTTTCAATACATACCACAAAAAACTTTTTCTAATATAATTTTTTTGCAATAAAGAAATCGGCAGAAAAAATTTGGACTCAGACAAAAACAAAATTTAAATAAAGAAAAATCAAGTGAGTTAAAATGGGTACGGTCAACCCGTCAATAGCTATACTTGACTGTAAATCTTTGGCCTTTACTCTTTGGGCAGGGGTGGACTGGGCCATTATGCTACTGCGTGAAATTATAATCAGTAATAATACAGATTATTTAATCTGTACGACTGTGTGCTAATAGTATGTGTAGACTGCAGGGGGCTATTCTGCTATTTTTCGTGAAAAAGTATAAGTGTACTACGCATACTTTCGAAAGAATCGCCCATGGCGTACTTGACTTTGTAGTTAGCTTTTATTACATTACCAGCCTTGAGCAATACAATAAGTATTACATTTTACAAATCAACTTAATTTTAATTGTTAATCATTTACTACGAGAAATCATGGTATATTTTTCAATTCATATAGAGAATAAAAGTAAATTTAAATATACAAATTAATCAATGATTGCATACAAAAAATTATCAAGGAAAACCTGAAAATATCAGCTTATGTTTTCTAAGGATATTATTTTGATGTATTAATATTGCAATTAGTAATACCCAGTGCTGCAACTAGGTTTTGTGGGGCCCTGGTGCAAAAAATGTTTTGGGGCCCCTTTAACAGGCGTGTATACAAGGGGGGTTCTTGGGGTTCAACCCCCCCCAGGAATTTTAGGAAATAAGTTTTATTATTTGTTAGTTAAAAATTTTTGAAAATGTACAAGCAAAACCCCCCTAAAAATTTTTTTTTGTGTACGCGCCTGCCCTATAACATACCCGTACCTGTATAATATAGGTATTCATAGATAAATCTTTGTTTACACTATTGTAAATTGTTTCTACATACTAGATGGCTCCTAGGAATCAGGCATCAGCCTTTATAACTGAAACTGAACCTGTTTTTGTAACCTTGTGATTTGAATACTCTATTTACAATTAGTTTATTTACATTATTCAAATGATCCTCATTTATTAGGTACAATATTGCACCCAGTCAAGTAATTAAAAAATTGAATACAAACATAATTTAATAATAATAATACCTTATATTTTTTATTTTATTATATTACCATATTATTTACAAACATTTTTTTTTCTTGCCTTTTGATTAGCAAAATCATCAATAATTTTACTTACATTAAGTTCTTTAGTTCTTGAGCGTTCTATATTTAAAATACTGATATTTGATAGCTTTTCTTGTCCCATTGAATTTCTTAGGTAGTTTTTTATTATTTTTAGCTTGGAAAATGAACGTTCTGCAGACGCAACAGTGACCGGTAATGATATAAAAATGATACAAGCAGTTAATATATCTTTGAAAAGAGAAGCCATATCATTTTCTAAAATATAATTTGCTAGATCTTTTATAGTTTTCATAGATGAAAGTGAATCAATTATAAATTCCTTTAAAGATAACATCTGTCTTGTAAAATCTGAACTTATATCTTTCTCGTAGTACAAAATAAAGTCATAAGTAGCCTTGACAAGGTTGTCTTCGCTAGATTGTAGAATTACATGTGGATTTAAAAAGTTGAATTTATCAACTACTTTCTGTAAACCTATAAAGCGATTATTCAGCTGAACCAAAGCTGTATCAATCAATGGCAAAAATACTTTCACTCTGAGGTTTTCTTCGGTTATATCTTGTATTTTGTCTCCATCTAAATCACCATAAAATTTTTTTGAGTATATTCGACGATGTTGATTATTTTTCACAAATATTCCCCAACTATTACACAAATTTGTTGCTGAAGCAACCAGTTCTTCATATTTCTCCCTCAAATTTTGAATTATTGAAATAGCCGATTTTAAACATTCACAAGCATTATCAAGGTTAGAATCAATTGATTGTAACTTTTTATATACCATATAAAATGGTCTTAAAATGTGTTCCCATATAGTAAGTATTAGCACAAACTCAAAAGATTCCAGCTTCTTTTTTAGACCTTTAGCTCTATTCATTTCTTCTTTCTTGTCACTTGTTAGCGTTATATTCGTTAAAGATTTTAAGACATCTCTGTAGCGATGCTTTAGAGCAAAAACTGCGTTATGTTGAGATTCCCACCTTGTTGTACATACTTTTTTTAAGACAGTTTTTGCTACATCATCGCCTAGCGCCAGAGAAGCCCATCTAGGAGCACTTTTACTAAAAAATAAAAATATGTCTTGAAGAATATCAAAAAAATTTAACATTTTTGATGAACTTTTGGCCACATCTGACAAAACGAGGTTCAAATTATGTGCAGCACAATGCACATATTATGATGCATTTGGAATTATATCAGAAATTCTTTTTTGAACCCCTGTGTAGCCACCACTCATTACTGAAGCGCCATCATATCCTTGGCCCCTACATTTGTTTATATCCAAATTATAATTCTTCAAAACAGATATTATTAAATTAACATGATCTTCAGCTCCATGTTTATTTAGAGGGTAAAATCCTAGAAAAGACTCTTTACAATATAACTTTTGTTCTCTATAATCAACAACTACATATCGAATAATAATGCTAACTTGATCAATCTTAGTGATGTCTTGTGTTGAATACTTGAATCAACTATTATGGAGAAATGAGAATTTTAGTTTTTTATTTTTTTACCTTATAGCTTTTATTTTTTACCACCTACTCTCAAATTTACACTTAAGACTTTTATAAATTTCAGGGCCCCAATGTATTACGAACTGAGGCCCCTTGGTGGTGCTGTGCACCCCCGGTCCCCCCGCTAGTTGCGGCACTGGTAATACCTATGGCAGTATGTTTGGAGACCACAAATTAAACCGGAAAGCCACCAGATAAATTTTTTTTTTTATTTATGAATCGTCTATGACATATATTTTAGATTCTGAGCGGAGCGAGGAGGTTTGTAGTTTTTATTTTTTTTTTATTATTTTTATTTTAAATAAAACAAAAATTATCTACCACCTTTAAGCACATGCTTGTGGTGGTGGTTGAGTTATATAACATAATTATAAGTAGAATAAAAAAAAAGCTGACAAGAATTTAGTAATCAATACAATGATATTTTTTTTATCCTGTTAACAAAATTTCTACCAAAAAAAGTGCTCCGATTTCAACATACAGTAGGTATCTTATCTTTTAGCAAAATGTTCCATCCAGCGTATCATTTTGTCGTCGTCGCCGTTACACTTATTATGTATATAACTATATTAATACTTTGATCTAAAAATGTATATAAATATAATTGAATGGCTGTTATAATATCAAAATATAATCATCTTATTATTCTCAAATTATTTATATTTATTAATACATGTCTAATACATGTAATTAGATTTAGGGGAGGGAGGAGTGGGGGGGGGACTTTGTCTGAGTAATAATAATAATCAATAATCTGAGTTTATTGAAACTTTTTAGAGATACATTGTTTTACCTTATGTGGCCGAGTATTTTTAAACCATACTTTGGTGCCATGACCTGGCTATTAGCTGAGGATACATACGCAGATACTCATTAAACTTTAATTTATACCTTAAATTATGCATTCAGGAACCAAATTTCGCAGTCTAATCTTTGTGAATTATTGTTCATTTTTAATGTCTAGATGGTTGATAATAACTAAATACATTAAAATCATAATTTTAAAGTATTCTAAAAACCTAACTTAAATTAACAAAATCTGAATATTCTCACACTTTTGATTCATCAGTGTTCGACATCATGAATTAACGTTAAGAGTTAAAAACTGAATACATTTGAGGTGTTAAATATACAGTATATAATAAATATCAGTTTTCAAAAACATGCAGTGGCTGGCCAAAGTAAAATAATTAAATATTTCCAGATATTACGATATAAATTACGATATTACTTTTAAAACAGTCGATGTTGTATAATCGGTGTACATCAAAACTAATATAACTATTGAAATATATTTTTTTTAAAACTTTATTTTTAAAACATACCTACAATCTGTAATTTTTTTATACTTTAACGAGCATTGATTATAAAATATAAGCAGTTAATAAAATATATTATATAATCAATGATATAAGTCATATTTTTCAATTAGTTTATAATTTCTATTCAACCACCATATGACGATTTATACAAGAATTGATTAATTTCTATTATTGTAACAGATGAATAATTCGCAATTTTAGTAATAAATTTACAAACGTACACAATTTGCAAAACAACTTTGTATTACAATTTAAATGAAAAAATTATACTAATAAATTAAACAAATAAACATTTTTATAATAAATAATTTGTACAATAATTTTATGTAGTATGGTGAATAACCCACTAGAAAAGATATTAAATTATTCAGATTTTTTAAAACGTTACAAAATATAATATGTGGTTTGATATTTCATAGGAAAAAATGTATATAAAATTTAAAGAGCTACTGGTAAATATATGATAATACATTACTTATTTGAATAATATGCAGAAATGTCGCAAATCAGACTTATAATTAGATAAACTGATACAGTCTATCTTTAAAATATATTTTTCAACACTTTTATAATTCATCATGTTCTTCTTTATCTTCCTCTTCTTCTTCTACAGGTTGTTCACCAACTGATTCTTCATCATCATAACTGACTTTTTCATCTAATGGAATGCCTAATGATTGCCTCATTAGAGCTTCAACACTTTCAGCAAAATCTGCAGATTCTTGGAGCATGAATCCTGACCTCAATGTTGCTAAATAATAAAAATAAACTTTTAAAATAACATTTTTCAAAAATAAAAAAAGGCAAAGTTTTATTATTAATTATAATTGATGGTAATACACTGTTTTAAACATATTTAACCAAAAAATTTACAAAATTAAATTACCTGTTCTAAATAACATAACTGCAATATCCTTTGCTTTTTGGTCTTCAGGATCATCTCTTACTCTTCTTAACAAATCCTTTATAAGAGGATGACGAGGATTTATTTCAAGAGATTTACGTTGCTTTAAATAAAACTCTCTTTGTGGATCATCAGCTTTTTGGTGAGCATTAGATAAGGCTAATCTTTCCATATTACCAGTCCAACCAAACATTCCAGCAACAAGAGCACATGGTGATTCAGCCAAGCGGTCTGATACGACTGCTTTTGAAATCTAAACAGTACACTCAAATAAATATAACATAACACGAGAGATATATTATAACAAAGCTTTTTTCAACTTACTTGATCTTTAAGAGCATTTTCGCCAAACCATTTTGTAAGTGGTTCAAATTGGACTTTCAATTCTTCAGCCTTTTCTTTATTTTCAGTAAGAGAAACACCCTCTTTAGCCACATTTTGGAACTTTTTACCTTCAAACTCTGGAATGGCTGACAATGTGTATTCGTCTACAGCTTCAATTAGGTACAGTACTTCATATCCCTTGCGAATAATGCCCTCAACAAAAGGAGAACGTTCAAGTTCTGCCTTGCTAGAACCAGCAATGTAATAAATATGCTCCTGCTTTTCACTCATACGTTTTACGTAGTCTGCCAATGACGTAGGAGTTTCTTCAACAGATGATTGGAATCGCAGCAACTTGGCAAGACGTGCTCGATTAGATGGATCTTCAATAATGCCCAATTTTATGCTATAAAATTGAAGAAAATTAGAATAATACTTACGAAAAATTGTATTACTTCGTTAAAATTGTTTACTTACTTTGTAGAATATTCAGCCCAGAATTTCTTGTACGATTCAGCATCCAACTTTTTAAGCATATCTAAAGCTTTACGGATAAGTTTTTTCTTGATGATTTTAAGTAACTTATGTTGTTGTAAAACTTCACGAGAGACATTCAATGGTAAATCATCTGAATCTACAATTCCTTGAAGGAAACTTAAATACTTTGGCAATAAATCAGTAAACTCATCTGTTATAAATACTCTTCTAACATAAAGCTTAATGTTGTCTGTTACTGTACCATATTTGTTAAAGGTATCTGATGGTTGAGCAGATGGAACATAAAGCAAGGATTTAAACGATACTTCGCCTTCAGCATTAAAATGTGTATAAGTCAGTGGATCCTTGGTATCTTTAGTTAGCGCCTTATAAAATTCATCATACTCATTTGCTTCTACATCATCAGGTTTACGAGTCCATATAGGTTTATGGTTGTTAAGGATTTCCCAATCCCAAACAGTTTTGTCTACCTTCTTGGTTTTTGGTGTTTCTTCTTTAGCATCTTCTACTGCTGCATCATCGTCTTCTGATTTTTCTTCATTTTCTGGTTGCTCGTCTTCTTCAATTGGTTCATCTACAGTTTCAGTTTTGCTTGACCATAAATAAATAGGGAAGTTGATAAACTGAGAGTATTTTTTCACCAAATTTTTCAGAGTATTTATTTCTAAATTATCAATAGCTTCCTCTTTCAGTTGTAAACTAAAATATGAATAAAAAAAATCCAATTAAATTAGAATAAGTAATATTTTTAAATTATAGTTTTAACAAACCTAATTTGAGTTCCTCTCTTAAGTGTTGGTCCTCTAGGGTCTTCAACAATAGAAAAACTGTTGGCATCTGATTCCCATATATATTGTTTATCATCATTGTGCTTGGTGGTAACCAAAACTTTGTCAGCAACAAGAAAAGCAGAATAAAATCCAACACCAAATTGTCCAATCATGTCATTCATATTCTTATCTTGACCTTCTCCAGAGTTCAAACTACTTAAAAACTCAGCAGTACCAGATTTAGCTATGGTACCCAGATTTTTTACCAAATCTTCGCGGGTCATACCGATTCCTGTATCAGTTATATGCAACATCCCGGATTCTTTGTTCACCTAATTTACAGTTAAATTATTAGAAACCATTTGTTGTAAACTAAATAAGTAATGAACTTCAATGAAATATTATGTATTTATACATCAATTTATTAGTTATAGTCTATTCAGAATAAGAGGATACCAGCAAAACTGGTTTTTGATCGTGGCCACCTGGTGTTGTCTTATTCTTAATAGAGTAGTGATAAAATATGGAGACATAATAGTTTTGATATAATAAACTATTGATATAAACCAAATTTAATAGAACTTAAGGTATTTGATTCAAATGTGTAATTAAGATAACATTTCTAGATTATACCCAGAAATATATCCAAGTATTTGTCCATCGTATATAACAAATATGCATAATTTATACAAAACATTTCAGGAGGCAAATAGTACAAAAATAGATAGGCTACTTTCAAAAAGGAAGTCGATAAAAGTTGAATAAATAAATCCCACACATAAATCACTTATGTCAATAAAGATAATACCTATTCAAAATTATATTAAAAATAATTAATATTAAACATTACCTTTATTCTGATAGAAAGTTCATTAGTTGCATCTAAAAGATTAGTATTAGACAACGCCAATAATCTTATTTTATCTAAAGCATCTGACGCATTTGAAATAAGTTCTCTTAAATAAATCTAAAAACAAAAATAAATTAGTATTATTTAGTTTTTATCAAAACAATTTAAAAATAATATTTACTTCTTTGTTTCTATATAACGAGTTGATAATAAGTTTCATCATTCGATTAACTTCAGCTTGGAAAGTAAATGTTTCTGCCTGTTCTTTCAGTTCCTTTAACTGTGCAGCATTCAATCCATCTAATTTAATTCGTTCTTCTGCATTTACAGCTGCCTTATCATCTGAAATATTATTTTATTTTAGTATTTTGGATACATTAGTTAAAATTATAACTGTTAATACTACTATATTATAAGGATTTAATTTTATTTATTACGGTTTTTTTTTAAAACATTTGTTACAGACATGAACAATTAGCTTAATTGATAAACTAATAGTAAATAATGACATAAAAATAAAAGATTGAAAATACCACTAGGCAGAAATACAGTATCATGAAATATTTTATATTAGTTATAATACCTATATAATGTAATGTATTACAGATTGTTTGCAAAATATCTATCTACCTAAGTAATAATAATAGTTTTATAGCTAATATTCTTATTTTTTTTATTATTATTATATTATTATATAACTTAACAATCAATTACAATATAAAAATACATATTATCTACAGCAATATAATATATCCTACTTACATGCAGATAAAAAAAATGTTTTTTAATTATAACTCATGGTTTGAAATAACAAGCCTAAAGATGTTAAGTTAAATCAAGAAATAATTTTAATTTCTGATTATTAGTAGATATATTTATTTTACTTTTTAGTAAATAATGAATTACACTTTTAAAATAATTAAATATTTAACAAACTCTAAGAAAAGGAGGTAGATTCTAACTGTACAATTTTATACTTAGGTGAATATCTCAGTTACTGATTTAAAATTTAATTTGTTGTTGTGATTTAATTAATCATGTGTGTGAAATTTATTTGTATCTAAATATCAGGTTAAGATAATGTTGAAACATCGTTTTTTCACTATATCTACTGACATTTAAATAAAGGGATGTTGATGGCTTTAAAAAATGCAGATAATTGCATTTTTAAGTACATATAATACAAATTGTAAGAACAAAAATCATACGTGAATAAAATGTTTTCATTCATATAAGCCATCGTTGATTTTTTTAGTTTAGTTTTGGTTTTTTTAATTATAATCTTTTGACTTTATTGAATCAGTGTCAAGTTGTAGATATCATTCCTCATGAAAATTAATATTTTGCGAATGTTCTGAATTAACCTGTTCTATAGTTTAGAACACAAGTTCATTTTAATAAATGCCGGCGGTACACACTCCAACACAAAATATGCATATTGTTAAATTGTAATAAATTTTACCAGTAACTGCTCCTTCTTTGCTGCCACCGTCGACGGTTGCGTCAACCGTAAATGTTTTTATTATTTCTCCTTCGCCTTCTAGTTCGTCGGCTACACATCGTTCTAAAGGTAACGGGAAAATCGTTAGTAAACAATAGGTAATAAAAGCCAATCGCCGTCCAAGAGTTGACAAAAAATAAAAAATAAAGCACACAGCAAACTTACCGGTTATTGGCGACAACGCCAGGGCCAAAACCACAAGTATCAGATACTTGAGTTCCAACATGTTGGACGCGACTTTTGGTCAACGTTTAGAAACGAAATCCGACCGTCACAAAAAACGCCACGAAATTATCTCGCTCGCGGATGTCAGTGAACTTTAACGTCGAGAACTAATGTGCACTGTGCACCGGACACTGGCGAAAACAACCGTAATACGGAGCCGTACCGCCGAATTATAACTTGTATTAATATAAAATTCGGACCAATGGGAACACTACACGAACACGGAACCGGCCAATCGGGCGCCACTATGTGGCTTTCCATCGGAAAAACACGATGGGAAGTTGGTGACGTCACTCGGATCATGCGTCACGCCAAAACGGGATTTGGTGGGTAGCCGCAGGCTTAAAACTGCAGCTGTTGGCATGCCGGTTGCGAACCATGATAACAGAAACTATGAAAATGATAACTATTGATAACAAACGCCGTGATAACAACAATTCAATTTTCAATAACAAAAAATACGCGTCTCGCGAGCCTCGGGTACTTCAAAGTTCAAATGTTTTTTTAGAATTTTTTGGGTTTTTGTTTGTACCCGGTATAACCGTTCTTCGTGTACAAGAAGAAGACCTACCAAACGCATTCGAAATGTTTGGAAAGACGTCGCTCTCCCTCCTACGATCGCTGACTCGCGAGTTCCGGTACGTCACATCGGACGGCAAGTTGCTCGACCGACCTCTAATTCGGCTGATTTTGTCTGAATACCGGTCAAACCAAGTCACCACGGCGCAGTACTGTCGTGGCCCCGACGAGATGGTATGGGTCGCCGACACATACTTGCAGTACATACGATCACAGCGTATATGCCGCGAGCTCACCGAAAAACACCAGAGACGAGAAAAAACCGTTCAAGAAACAGCGGATATGATTGGTTTTAGATTACCGACCGCACCGACAAACCACAAAGACAATTGAAATGTATAATGTATTTGTCTGTATGTATATAGTTTTCTGTGAAAATCATTTAAGTGTTAGGAGAATCATCCGTATTTTCAATTTTTAACACTGTACTCCTTAGAAATTTCTACTATCTAAATTCAAAGAGTATCTTTATGTACATATACACATGGTAAGACAAACTTCCAAAGCACCTAGATACCATTGGTATATTTTGAAAATTAATTAAAATAAATTTGGTACCACCTAAAAACTATATTTTGTTTTACCCATAGACATTAGAGTCTACGCTGTCTATGTTTTTACCCTACGTGATATTTAATTCACAACACGTCTTGTAATCCTCATTTCTCACTGCCCTCTCAATTAAGACTTTCTTCATTGTAAGTTATTATTAATATTTACTTCAAAATTAAAATTAAACTTCCAAGTAATCTACATTTTTCACACAACATTAAGTAACAAAAAAAACCAAACAGAGATCACATCTTTAACCACATTTATTCAACAGTTGTTTTTTGAGAATTATAATAAATAGGAATTTAAAAAATGTTATAATTTATTTTTCAGAAGCTTTATTACAAACACTAATTTTAATTAATATAAAATTGTTTCCTTAATGTATACATTAAAAAATAGAAGTTATGCAAAACACAAGTTTCAATGTATAAAAAAAAGGTTTGTTTCTATTAACATTAAAATGCATTTCCATACTCCAAGTATTTGGGTTTTTAAAGATTCCACAACGTAAAATTATCTTATATTAGGATAATAGGAAAATTATAATACAACATATGCCCTAAAATGTTGTGACAAAATAAGCGTGTTCTCATATTTTTCAAAATAAAATATATTACAAAATCATTCTATGTGAATACACCATAAATTAGGTAGTCAAAATTAAATAACACTTGAATGGTAAAACTAACATAAGTTAGTACTTAGATTTAAAGGGCATAATCATAATTACTTGTATTATTAGTTTAAGAAATAAAAAAAAAACATCAATCTGCTGCAAACATATGATAATACTTTAAAGTTTAAAGTCAAACAATTTATTTTATTTATATTTATCATCAATTTTAAAAGGGGTTAAATTTAGGTCCAGGTCCTGACATATTTCTTGGTCCAGAAGGTCTTGGATATCCACCTCCGCCCATATTATTTGAAAAAAATGAATTAGGAGGACCAGAGTTATCATTACGCCGAGAAAATGTGTTGTTCCCAAAAGAATTACCACCGCCGCCACCACCACTGCTGCTACCTCCTCCACCAAATGAATTGTTTCCAAATCCTCCAAAGCTCCCGCCATTTCCTGAATTTGGTGGTCCCATATCATCCATACTAAAGTTATTACCGCCAGAACCTGGTCCACCTCCTACCGGTCCATCCATAAACAGTTCAATGTATCTATGCTGCATATATGTTTTATCCTAAAAATTAAAACATTTCAGTATATTATATATAAATTTTTAAGCAATTTCTAAAAAAAAAAAAAATGTTTACTTTTGACATAGCTCGCATTGCATCTTCTTTGTTACCAAATTCAACATTTGCTTCTCCAGATGGTCGATTATTGTTATTGAAAAGAATACGTATATCAACGGGTTCCAACGGTTCAAAAAACTAATTTGAAAGGTTTATCAAAATTGATCCAAAAAAAGTTATACTTATTAATTAAAATATAAATATACTAACTGTAGCTATATCATCCTCATTTGCTTTAAAAGGTAATCCTCTCATATGTACAACATATAATGGTCTACTTGGTGGAGCATTCCAGTTATTACTATTCCATCCTCCTCCACCACCTCCACTACCGCCGCCCATCATACCTTGGCCACCTCCACCACCGCCTCTTGGTCCACCCATACTTCTACCACTATTCCATGGATCACCTCCATTATCATAGCCATTATTGCCAAATGACTTCATATTACGTCCAGTTCTCATGGGCATATCAAAGTACCGTCCACTACCACCACTGCCGCCGCCGCCACCACCACTACTAGCAAAACGATCCATTCGGTCATATGGAGTTTGTCTAGGTCTTCTTTGCAGTGCTTGATTGCGAATTTCTGCTAAACTACTGCGGAATATCTCAATATATCTAAAGAATCATAAAAAAATGAGTAATTTATGAAGTATTATGCAATTAAGATACCTAAAAGTAACTTAAACATAAAGTAAATTTTTACTATAGTAGAAATAATTAAGTTTTAATTTAATAATTAAAAATAAAAATAAAAAAACAAACCACAAATAAGGAGGAGCGAAGGATTACCCTCCCGGCCTCCCTTTGTTTAACTACATGTGATTATATTACCCGCCAATTTTTCACCGGGATATTATATAAAGGAAGACACCCCACCTGTGTCCTATTTTCTCCTTGTGTTTCTGCAGAGCTTTCTCTGCATTCTCTCTGTCTACAAATTGTACAAAAGCTTCCCCCGTACTCCGCCCCGTGAAGTCGGTTGCTATGGTTATACCGTCTGGTGTCATCTCCAACCCTGTTGCCCACAATACAACCAATCATAGATAACCCAATCATTAGCACAACCAAAAACACAAAAAGTTAAATTAACAAAAGGTAAATATTATTAAGTTTGAACATTTTTATAAAATTTGAAGACAAGGCAATTCATTAAGATCATTTTAACTGTTATTGATTTAAACTTGTGATATTTAAAAATTAAAACAATTTATCTACATAATTTTTGTTGTCCTTAAATTTACATTTGGTATAGTTAATAGTTATTACTTTTCAACTCCATTTTTATATATCCTACTAAATATTTAAATACAGCCTATACAGCTTAATTTTTAAGCAATAAAATATTTATGTTTGCTGTGGACAAAAAGCTTACCAATTATCATAATTTTATGTTTAGTGGAACGTAGTAGAGTGGTTAAGTCTATACAAAGAAACACTATATGGTGTAACACGCTTAATTATAAGCTTTACCTAGTAAAATTGCTGTTAGATATGAAAAAAAAAACTGTTAAACAAATATCACAAAACTAATTTAAAATATAAATCTTATTGAATCACCAAGACAAAGCAAATTTATAAGTAACCCAAAAATTAGCAAGAGAAATAAAAAAATAAAATTCAATCAATGTATATAAATTAAATGGAAAAGTATACCTTGGAAGAATTGTACAATGTCATCCTTAGTAGATCCAAATGGAAGACCTCTTAAGCGAACACAATTATCATCTAGTACACTGTCAAGTGTTGAACCAGTTTTTTTAATAACCCATTCCATTTCTGAACGTTTTGATCGAAATACTAAAAAAAATAAATATATACAAATGATTAAGTTTTAACATACACTTTTATAACTCACTATTAAAATGTATATTTAAATGATTGTAGACTATTGTATGAGCGGAATAAGAAAGTTATTCTTTTTAAAATATTGATTTTCATATGTTTATTAACCAGCTCAAAAGTAGGTATATATCACAAGCATACCAGAAACCTTTTTCGATCTCCAGTTGAATGTTTTACCATTTAAATTAACGGAATTTAAGTATAAGCCATATTTTGGAAGCCAATCAGTCATTAAAATTATTTACTAACACATTATTAAATATAATTTGAGTATAACCTTCAATGTAACGATTTCCCATATGCTCTCGATCTTTCTTAAGAGCAGCCTTAAGATCTTCTTCGGATTCCATTTCAACATAAGCTTCACCACTAGGTCTACCTTCTCTGGCCATGGTCAAATGTACTCCAGCAGCACCATCTTTAACCTTTGCTTCACCTACATAATTTATAAAATAGATTACATTTAATTTATTTTAAATATAAAACTATTGATACATCTAGAGTTATAAGCACCACCAAATTTGTAATTTAATCTAATGAATACACTAGAATCAAACTTAATGACAAATAATCAAGGGGTAAAAAATATAAATTAAATGAGTTATAAATAATCAAAATCATAAACTTACTGACAATTGATTTGTATTTAGCATAATATGACACCAAATATCATTAAAAATGTAATACATATTTAAAAAAATTAAACATACTTGTAAAAACAATAACTAAAGGATGGCCAAAATTATTTCATGGATGTGTTTTAGAATATAAGCCATATTGGAAGTCTTTTTTTTTAAGTTTATTGGTATTTGCCAGTACCATATTAGAATTGCTAGGAAATCAATTTTTTCAATAACAGGAAGCTCTCAATTATCCATGAAATAGGGTGGCACAGCAACCACTGATAAACAAATTCTCATGTTAAGAGGCAAAAACTTGACAAACAAATGTCCAACAATTTTAAAACCATTGGGTGTGACCGGACAATCAGCAATACAACATTTTAGGGTACCTTTGATACTTGATATGTTCTCTACTTGTGGAACCATAATGATTTCTTATATGTACATATAATGCAAGTTTTATATAGTACCTTGGATAACAAGAGTTTACTATATAATCAACAACATTATAATATGAAGTGTATCTAACCAAACCTCCAAAAAATAATAATAATAGTAATACCTAATAAATAACAGTATTCAGTATGTAAGGGAAGAAATATGTGATACATTTATACAGACAATTGAGGTGAGATAGTCTCTTTTCTTTTGACACTTTTTTTATACAAGCGTGGGCTCATATAAATAACATTTTAAGCGTTAGTCGTATAAATGTTATCAAATTCATATGGTACTATACCTAGATGTCTTTAAATCTCATATTTACAAAAATAAATTATAGCGTTATTTGTTGTTTCCGAATAAGTTATCATTTAACTAAGTTAAGAGTAATTAGCATATGCGTAACCTGCCGTAATGAAACAAACTAAACTTTAAAAAATGAATAAAATTTCAGTTTTTTTTTTTTTGATGAACTATTAAATATATGATAGTGAAAAAATAAATATTTCTGAGTATGATTTTTTGTTCTAACTTGATCAAGAAATTAATAATAATAATAAAATAATATATAAGTGCGATGCTCACAATGTAGCAATTATGTGTACTAAACGACAGGCTAAATATAATATTTAAGCATACTCCTTTCTAATCATATCTTAACCAATAAGATATTTAAATATTGACGTAAGCACATTTATTTTCTACACTAAGTCATCCCCTATTTAATATTAGGTATTTCAAATCAAACATATAAGTATTGTTTCTTATATATAATTTAGAAATAAAAAATAAAAACTTTAGATGAATGATAAATCTAATACATATGTAGATTCTATTCAGAATAAGAATACACCAGTTTGCACAAGGTCTTGTACATAGTCAGAAATCTGAATTGTGAATGGTCGGTAATTATCATTGTGGACTAACACAGTAGTCGATCACAACTGTATAAAAACTGTTTCAGTTACCAGTAGTGGGGGATTGATGTACAAATTTTCTCCTGCTCGGTGTACTCAAATTTGAGTAAGGTAACTATTAAAAATTGCTCTTAACATACCCAATATGCTTAAAAATTTGATTATATCATCAGCTGTAGCCGACCATGGTAGGCCACGCATCTTTACAACAAATCCTTCATTAGACTGACAATCATCTTCATCAGTTTGTTCATTAGATCTTTTTTGGTCGTCATTCATTTGTGGTTGTGATGATGGTTGTTGTTGCTGCTGCTGCTGCTGTTGTTGAGGTGGCTGCTGCTGTTGTTGCGGTGATTGTTGCTGCTGTTGATTCATTGTTTCTATATTATGAATGCTACAAAAATTAAAATATAATATAGTAGATAAGTATATATGAATGAAGATCATCAAAGAAAAACTGTATATCAATCAACACACATCTGTTCAAAATCTAACGTGTAAGAAGTCACATGTAAAAATATACCAGTGTAACGCACCGACCCGTATCAGACACAGACCTTGATATGAGTCTGTGCATACAAATTTTTTCTGGTTAAAAATCTTGTATGTAATTAATATTACCCAAGTATAAAACTCCCAAATTAAATAATTCAAATTTCATACCTTTAGTTAATATTACAGCAGCTATAATATTATTTTGAAAAATATAATGAAATGGATTGAACAACCAACTTTAAGAAATTACAATTATCATATTTAATAATATCGTATTCGAAAGAAATATGTGTAACGCTTCAAAAACACAAAGCGGCTCATGAAAACACACAGAAACTGTAAGTTTGCTAATAAGAAACTAAACTATTTAATTACGTAAAAACCCTAAGATTTTAGATTGTGTAGAATGCATCAAACAACGAGCGATGGCTACAGGGAAAAATTGAAATGAAATAAATGAAACAAACATGCACAAATTGTAGACAAAATGGCTGTCTTCGGCGTTTGTTTATACCCAGTTCACATCGTTTTTTCATCCATGTACTATTTCTCCACGATAAACCGCCAATTCAAATTTTATAGTTCCGATTTCACACGAAAACTGATCTTACTATAGTTTTTTTTTATTTTGATTCAACTGCATATTGTAGTAAGACAGTAAGTAGTAACTACATGTTATGTGCATGTTATAAATTTATTTTCCTAATATTTTTAAATCGGTTTTCGACCAATTCAATTTTGGTTTATGGTGTAATTTTAAAAAAAAAAATACCGTAGATGCAATTTTCACTGAATGTTTATATACAGGGTGTATCTTATGTCATTGTACGCGGGGTTTTTTGACGATTACGGAACGATAATATGGAATTTCGTTAAAACGAAAAAAGACGTGTTTCTTTATTTTTAACAAGCAATTTTTTTATAACAATTTCAAAATTTTTAAACACGCAGGTGTACCAATAGCAAAATCAACATTTTTTTTTCGAATGGTAACCACTATATTTTTAATAGATTCTGGTAAAGCTTTTTTTTCTGAACATTTTGGTAGTCAAATCGTCAATTTTGGTTCGCTAGTTTATTAACTATGCCACTATGGTCCTCCAAAGATTAGTAAAATATGCATTAATACTTTTAATTAAAATAATGGGTATAGGTTTAATTTACAAGTGCTAAACAATTTTTTCTTATAACTACCATTTGATACACTACAATAGTTGAATCAGTAATCTAATGACACCCTAAAAAAAAAAAAAAAAAAAAATAACAAACACAATTGTATGTAAAAATACTTCATTATTTTTATTTTATTATACGATCATAAAAATCAATATTATTATTTTAATTTATTATTATAATCGTAATTAATTACTTTACATTTTTTCCATCACAGTTACTTTTCTTACAATATCATAAATTTGAATTCTTAATTAGGTAGGTGGCTAAGGTAATAATGGTAAATTGGTAAATGGTATTCGATTGTTGACATTAATATGTGCAATGTTTTGTGGTGCTCTTTTCGTAGTGGCATAAAGTATAAACTTGATATTTTAACCATAGATTCCCTATAATGGTATCGCATCCAAAGTATGAACTTAGGAGTTGTAATTTATCCCTTTCCATCCTTTTTAGTTTTGGATATTAAAATAATAATATTGATTTTTATGATCGTATGTTAAAATAAAAATAATGAAGTATGTTTACATACAATTGTGTTTGTTATTTTTTTTTTTTTTTTTTTTTGAGGGTGTCATTAGATTACTGATTCAACTATTGTAGTGTATCAAATGGTAATTATAAGAAAAAATTGTTTAGCACTTGTTAATTAAACCTATACCCTTTGTTTTAATTAAAAGTTTTAATGCATATTTTACTAATCTTTGGAGGACCATAGTTAATAAACTAGCGAACCAAAATTGACGATTTGACTACCAAAATGTTCAGAAAAAAAAGCTTTACCAGAATCTATTAAAAATATAGTGGTTACCATTTGAAAAAAAAAGTTGATTTTGCTATTGGTACACCTGCGTGTTTAAAAATTTTGAAATTGTTATAAAAAAATTGCTTGTTAAAAATAAAGAAACACGTCTTTTTTCGTTTTAACGAAATTCCATATTATCGTTCCGTAATCGTCAAAAAACCCCGCGTACAATGACATAAGATACACCCTGTATAACACTATAATATATGTTCAAAATATTTTGACTTGTTTTGAGCTGCTTACAATCATTTTCAGTTTATAAATTACTTTTGTTTTAGATTCTGAGTGTAAAGATGAATGTATTGATTTTACAATGATCTGTGTTTTTTAATTTTTTAATTTTTGTGTCTGTGTACACGATTAGTAGTCGAAATAATGCTTCGATTATCAACTTCAGTATCTTGTTCGATGGGACAGTGAATCTAGTTGGTACTTTTGGGAGGTCAAAATTTAAAATTCCCAATAGTCTTCAAAAGCCCCCGGAAAAACAAAATAAAAATTAAGGAAAAACGGGAATTTTGGCCTTTGGTGTAACTCTAAAACAAATGATCGTAACTACATGAAATTTTCACTGAATGTTTATATTAGCCTTTTCTATATATGAAACAATTTTCAAAATAGTTTGACTGTTTTGAGCTGTTTAAAGATCAGGTACAATTTTTTGTTATACACTAACATTTAAACTTCAAATTTTGACCAAATTTATCACATTTAAAATTTAATAATAATTTTGTAGTTAAAAAATCGTAAGACGTTCACCTTTTATAGCTAAGGATTGAAAATATAAAACAAGGTTCCACGATAATAAGTTATACAGTGTGCACAGTATATCAACTTAGACTTTAAATAGTTGTCTCATTTAGACTTATTTTGGAACATAAAAAGAACATCCATTATATACATCAAAAATAGATATTTTGATCTAATGAACGATATTTATTAGACAGCTAATAGACATTGACATGTATTTACTGGGTGTTCACGATTTTAGGTACCACTGAATATCTTAGATGGGTGACCTTGTATTGAAATGGGGTTTTCAGGAGGTGATGGGAGCCTTTAAATACATATTCTCAGACCAGTTTCAAATATTTACCTCACTCGGTACGCTCATGCGAAATACGACTTACTTTTTAGATTCTGAGCGGAGCGATGAATGTATTGGTTTTACAATGATGTGTGTTTTAGATTCTGAGTGAAACGATGAATGTATTGATTTTACAATGATGTGTGTTTTTTTTTTTATTTTATTTTTTATTTATTTTTTTATTTATTTTTTTTGTGTCTGTGTACACGATAAGTAGTCGAAATAATGCTTCGATTTTCGACTTCAGTATCTTGTTCGATTGGAAAGTGAATACCGTTGGTGCATTGGGGAGGTCAAAATTTAAATTTCCCAGTAGTTTTCAAGAGCGCCGGGAAAAACAACATAAAAATTAAGGAAAAGCGGGAATTTTTACGCAAAATCGGTTTTCCAAAAAATCGATTCTGGTTTTTGGTGTAACTTTAAAACAAATGACCGTAGATACATGAAATTTTCACTGGTTGTTTATATTTGCATCTTCTATACACGATAACATTTTCAAAATATTTTGATTTATTTTGAACAGTTTAGGGACATTTTCATTTTTCGTTTTTTTTTAGTTTTTAGTTTTTTATTTGAGATGAAAAATATTAAAAATCCTTAGTCACAATTTTTTTTTATAAGCATTTAAAGTTCAAAAATTGACAAAATATGGAAAAATCACGAAAATTAGCAAATTATTTTGAGTTAAGAATTTGTAAAAATTTTTCTTTTTAAATCTAAGATTTGAAAATCTAATACAAGATTACTCATAAGATTGTCTACCTTTATCAATAAAAAATCTCTACTGGAAAGTCAAATTAAATTTTTATGAGCGTTTGAAATTCAAATTTTTACAACATTGGATATTCACTCGATTTCTCATGTGGCAATTTCCTTTTTTTGTTGTAATTAAAAAACGAATTACTGTAGATACATGAAAATTTCACTGAATGTTTATATTAGCATTTCCTATACACCATACAATTTTGAAAATATTTTGACTCTTTTTGAGCCGTTTACGGACATTTTCAGTTTTCAATTTTTTTAGTTTTTTTTTTCTATAAATATCAATTAAGTTTTATCTGTTGGGCCAAAAAGTGTAAAAATTTAATACAAGGCTCCTGATATATTGTTACAATATCAGTTGAAAAATATTAAAAATACATAGGCACAATTTTTTTTTATAAGCATTTTAACATCGAATTTTGACAGAATTTTTCAAAATCTCGAAAATTATTAATCATCGTAATTAATAAATTATAAAATGTTCAGTTTTTATAGCTAAGGATTGAAAATTTAAAACAAGATTCTACGTAAGTAGTTAATTCTCTTACCGAAAAATCTAAAAAATATACAATCACAGTTTATTTTTATAGTCATTTTATGTTCAAATTTGGACGAAATTTCATATTAAAAAACCTATAGTTATTTTGTTGTGATTATATAATATTATTCGTGGGTACGGGGTACCTACTTGAAACTTCTAAAGTGTATTATTATATATCTATGATAGTATCAGGGTTTGTTATTGATGTTGATGTATAACGTGTTATAAGTACCTAATGGATATTGTGATAATGTGATATGATTAATTTGGAATTTATTAAAGGTAAATTTTTTTTTTAATACCATAGTTATGTATATAATTTGTCTTAAACCTAGACTGACATACCGTCTTCGCTCAGAATCGTTTTTCTTATACAATGATATTGAATCATTGAATTCAAATTTAATAGCATCCATTATACAGTGACCCACTTGTGACCTACTGTACAGCAGAGCGACATCCACTTACCCACCTTTTTTTATTTTCTTTGTATCTGTGTACACGATAAGTAGTCGAAATAATGCTTCGATTTTCGACTTCAGTATCTTGTTCGATTGGAAAGTGAATATCGTTGGTGCATTGGGGAGGTCAAAATTTAAAATTCCCAGTACTTTTCAAAAGCGCCAAGAAAAACAAAAGAAAAATGAAGGAAAAACGGGAATTTTTACGCAAAATCGATTTTTCAGAAAATTGAATTTTGTTTTTGGTGTAACTTTAAAACAAATGACCATAGGTACATGAAATTTTCACTGGTTGTTTATATTTGCATCTTCTATACACGATAACATTTTCAAAATATTTTGATTTATTTTGAACAGTTTAGGGACATTTTCATTTTTCGTTTTTTTTTAGTTTTTTTTCTAGAAATATCAATAAAATTTTATTTGTTGGTTGCGAAAGCTTGAAAATTTAATAGAAGGCTCCTACTATATTGTTTCAAAGGCAGATGAAAATATTAAAAATCCTTAGTCACAATTTTTTTTTATAAGCATTTAAAGTTCAAAAATTGACAAAATATGGAAAAATCACGAAAATTAGCAAATTATTTTGAGTTAAGAATTCGTAAAAATTTTTCTTTTTAAATCTAAGATTTGAAAATCTAATACAAGATTGCTCATAAGATTGTCTACCTTTATCAATAAAAAAATCTCTACCGGAAAGTCAAATTAAATTTTTATGAGCGTTTGAAATTCAAATTTTTACAACATTGGATATTCACTCGATTTCTCATGTGGCAATTTCCTTTTTTTGTTGTAATTAAAAAACGAATTACTGTAGATACATGAAAATTTCACTGAATGTTTATATTAGCATTTCCTATACACCATACAATTTTGAAAATATTTTGACTCTTTTTGAGCCGTTTACGGACATTTTCAGTTTTCAATTTTTTAGTTTTTTTTTTCTATAAATATCAATTAAGTTTTATCTGTTGGGCCAAAAAGTGTAAAAATTTAATGCAAGGCTCCTGATATATTGTTACAATATCAGTTGAAAAATATTAAAAATGCATAGGCACAATTTTTTTTTATAAGCATTTAAAGATCGCATTTTGACAAAATTTATCAAAATCTCGAAAATTATCAATCATTGTAATTAATAAATTATAAAATGTTCAGTTTTTATAGCTAAGGATTGAAAATTTAAAAAAAAGATTCTCATAAATAGTTCATACTGTAGGCAAAAAATCTAAAAAATATATGAGCACAGTTATTTTTTACAGACATTTTAAGTTCAAATTTGGGACGAAATTACATATTAAAAAACCTAGCATACCTATTTTAGTTATTTTGTTGTGATACTATTCGTGGGTACTTGAAACTTTTAAAGTACACTATATTATATATCAATGATAGTATCAGGGTTTGTTATTGATGTATAACGTGTTAAAGTACCTAGTGGATATTGTGATATGATTAATTTGGAATTTATTATAGGTCAATTTTTTTTTTAATACCATAGATATGTATATAATATGTCTTAAACCTAGACTGACATACCTTCTTCGCTCAGAATCGTTTTTCTTATACAATGATATTTTATCATTGAATTCAAATTTAATACCATCCATTATACAGTGACCCACTCGTAACCTACAGTACAGCAGAGCGACATCCACTTACCCACCTTTTTTTTAAATGGCAACCTCAGTTTTTTTCTACAGATTCGGGTAGAGTATTTGTTTTTAAACATTTATTGTATAAAAAGTTTTTTTCTATTTTCAAAACTGACCAAGTTAGAGTAAGTCAAAAATTGGATTTATTCATAATTCGTGTTTAATGATATTTTCATTTATAACCACTGGCAGTGACGTAAGTAGGGGGAGGCCCCTAGACCAGAGCCAATAGTAAAATTACAGATTTAATTAAAGTATATCTACACTGTTTACAGTTTTTCACCATGATTAATTTAGCTGGTTGTTAAAATCGTTTTTGAGGAATCAACAAGGAAATAATTGTCAGGACTTGCTTTGATGATTTTGATGTTAAATTCATAGTTAGATAACATTAAAAAATTGTCAATATTTTTTGAAAAAGAATTAAAAAATTAATTTTACATAATTATAAAATGAAATTGCCCAATTTTTATTTGTATTGTATATGTCATAATTATATAACCACCTAGCTCCCTAAAATATGTATAATTATAGCTATGTTGGTCGTGCTATGCTTGAGTAATGATAAATTGCCAAAATTGGTCCATAGTGAAAATAATTTGTATGTACGCCATTGACCACTGGAAATAATAAAATAAGTGCCAAATAAAATATGTTTAATGGGGGACGGAGTGGCAGAGCGGACTAAGGCGTCGATTGATGGGCACCGTCGCCGGTTCGAACTCGGCAACGGGCGGAATTTCTTCTGGCAGTCACGGTGTGTCGGTATCCGGGGAGAGAGTACCTATTTGTTTAGGCAGAATTTTTAAGTGGGCAGTGGTCACCCGTGGGTATCTGCCATAATATATTTTGTCATGTATCTATAGTCCGTGCTATATAGTATGGGCTTGGTATTGAGCTTAGATCATATACAATGGATAGAGCCATACGCACTATTTGTGAAGCCAACATCATTGTAGGACCTCGGTGATATGCGCATGCGCGTGGTCTCTTATCATTAATGTTTGGGACAGAGACGCAGAGTGCAGAGTCTCACTGCAGACGCGCAGTTAAGATAAACAGATTGATGTATTATGATAAGCAGTCACGCATGCGCAGATGTCACAGGTCCTACAGTAATGTTGGCATCAACTCATTTTATACGCGTAGTATGCTATGACTCCATCCATTGTATATGATCTAAGGTATTGAGTAATAACTCTTTATCAGTAAACAGAAATTTAAATTGATAAGAAACAACTTTACTCACTCGTATTGTTCTGTGCTCGTACTCTATGCTCGGCTATCATTACTGCTTTACTCATTAATCAGTATTCAGTATAAAAGAAAATTCTCATTTCTTAATACAAGTGCAAGTTAAATCTTTCAAGGTTTAAATTTTCCATAAAAAAAAAAGATTTATTTGGTACTTTACTCACATAATTTGATGTATATTTTAAAATGCGAAAATTAAATTGAACATCTTATAATAATGACTATCTACAACATATATATTTTTGATCAGATGGGTACAATATTGTATCAGACAAACTGGAATCGTCTTAAACAATCGGGCATGAGTAGTGAAGAAGTAAATTTAGAATATTTCAACATTATCTGTGTAGATTTAGAAATATATTTTATCTATGTTATAGGAAGCCAAATTGATGTATGGTATGTTATTTTCTATCAAGTCATTTGTTTCTAAAATATCACCACTTGATCCGAAACGTGGTTTTTTGTGTTACAAGACTAGCAAATATGCATTACATTATTACGAATCTTTAACTGGTATTAAATTTATTTTAAATACCGATATCACGATAAAAAATGTCAGAGATTTGTTACACCAATTATATAAAGAAGTAAGACTTATTCGTTATTATTGATAATTTTTAATAAATAACCATTTTTTATACTATTCTATTAATTGACATATTTATTATCTTGGGAATATTTATATGATATGATATTGTCATATTAGTTATATTTACCAAAAAATAAAATAAAATAAAATGAAAACATTACTTTAAAATATAAATGATTCAATTAAAAATTTTATTTATTTTTATTATCTTTTATTCATTTAATCTTGATTTTTTTATTTCAGATTTACGTGGAATATGTTGTAAAAAACACTGAATGTGAAATGGGAAAACCTATTGAAAGTGAATTATTCAAATTGAAACTTGATCAATTTATAAAACAGCATATGAAAAGTTTACAATAAATATATAATATAAAAAAAATATAAAATTATGTAAGTTATGTAATAATATAATTATTTGAATTTTTGAAAGTAATAAATTATTTTATCTATTTAATTATGAGTCTTGGGGTTCATTATAATGACTGTGGTGTCACTGTATTAGTGTATTACCTGATAAATCCTCTAAATTGTCCATTGTAAATTGTAAACAAATTTAAATTATAACATAATATTAACAATATTATGAATCATAATATTATTTATTATCTAATTATTATTATTTATTTTATTATTATTGTTTATTTTATTATCCAGAATTGAGATTTGTCTTGATTCCTATCTTTTAGTGTCTTGACTCTTGGGTTTCTTCTGATGTCTACATTTTTAATTTAAAATTATGTTACAATCAGCAGTAGTTATTGGCTATGTTAGAAATTAGTTTGGTAATTGTATATAGAATAATACAACAAAAGAATTAATTGTTCATACTTGGTGTTGAATAATATCTGAACGTATTTAATTGTTGTTTTTGTGAATTATATCTTATAGAAATGTTTGTATTTGAAATTAAGTGTCATGTTTCTAAATCATTCTGTTTATATAATGTTGACCTTTTGCAGGGGTTAAAGTGGGACAGGGGACGCAAGAGGACTCAGTCCCCGTACCTCAGATGGCAGCTAAAAAGCGTCCCCTTTTACAAATTAGGATTTTATACATAAGACATTATACATAAAATTATATATGGAATGCTTAAAACTATGTGAAGACATTAGTCCTCTCTGGAATTTTTTCCCACCTTAACTTTTGACCTTTGATTGCTATAGTTATACAAATACCTAATCTATTAGACATTAAGACATTCAATTTTTTCTGAAATTGTTTGAAATGAGTTTGTATCTTGAATATAAGATAAAAACTAATCAAAATTATATAACTGTTTAACTGGATTATATATATGTTATAATTGCACCAGACTCTTATGCTTCCTCATTTCGTATACAAACATTTAGAATTATTACTTACTCAGTGGAAAAAGGTTATTATATTATTATTTTTCATATTACTGAAATTATATTTACTATATTGTTATGTAAAAATTTGAAATTCAAACACTCATAAAAATGTCATTAGAGTTTCCGGTAGTTTTTTTTTTTAATAAAAGTAGACAAACTTGTGAAGAATCTTGTATTACATTTTCAAATCTTAGATTTAAAAAGAAAAACTTTTATGAATTCTTAACTCAAAATAATTTGCTAATTTTCATGATTTTTCCATATTTTATCAATTTTTGAACTTGAATGTTTTAAAAAAAAAACTGTGACTAAGCATTTTTAATATTTTCCATCTGCCTTTGAAACAATATACTAGGGGCCTTCTATTAAATGTTCAAACTTTTTTAACCTACAAATTTTTATTGATATTTTTAGAAAAAAAAAAAGGAAAATGAAAATGTCAATAAACAGTTCAAAATAAATCAAAATATTTTGAAAATTATATCGTACATAGAAAATACTAATATAAACAACAAGTACCTAAACATTTCATGTATCTATACCTGTATATTCAAAAACATAACTTGCTCTAACTTGGTCAATTTTTATTTAATTTTAGTATTTTTTTTTTTTTGAACTGTTTTAAAAAATATGCTCAACAAAATGGCTATCTTAAAAATTTTAAATTATTAAATGCATAAAAAATTTTTTTGAAAATTTTTGAATTTAAAGAAAAAATAAATGAATTTTATGCCATTCAATCAGAATTTTCATACTTAGTACTGTAAAAAAACCGCGTTCAAACATAGTGATTTTACATGGAGATATTAAGGGTGATACGGGACTTTTGGGACATACTGTAGATTGTTTATTTCTAATAAAAAAAACGAATACAACAACAGTTATGATTAGACATTTTAAAAATTTAAATTTAAATATAATATATACACTGTGTTAAATATTAAATCTACAACTCAATCATTTAATACTGTCTAAATTAATGTCATTCGACATTCAACTATTCATTAGGACTGTTTAATCTAAATAATAATCAACTAATCAAGGTTTATTTGATAATTAAAAATTAAAAAGCGATTTTGTGAAATAAAAAAACCGTGGAGCTTATTCCGTCCAGAAAGGAATTATTATTAAAACAATAATATACTATAGATTATGAATATTACCGCTAGATCGCGTTATGTGCCAGTAAGTTTTTGTAAGCGCTTTCTCATTCCACTTTTTTTAGTTCGACGCGCAACCAGTCTATCTTAAACCGTGCTCTCAGCTCGCATTAATCAGTATCTCACAAAAACTATTATAAAACAAATTCTCATTTCTTAATGCAAGTGCAAGTTAAATCTTTCAAGTTTTGAAATATTCATAAAAAAAAAAAATTATTCAGTTCTTAACTCACATAATTTGATGTATATTTAAAAATTCGAAAATTAAATTAAACATCTTATAGTAATGACTGTCTACAGCATCCTCATTGTAGATCGGGTGGGTACAATATTATATCGGAAACAATGGAATCAATCGGGCATAAGTAGTGAAGAAGTAAATTTAGAATATTTCAACATTATCTGAGTAGAATTAGAAATATATTTCATCTATGTTCTAGTGGGCCAAATTGATGTATGGTATGTTATTTCCTGTCAAGACATTTGAGTCTACCATATCACCACTTGACCCGAACTTTAATTTTTTGTGTTCCAACACTGGCAATTATGCAATACATTATTACGAGTCAGAATCTGGTGCTAAATTTGTTTTAAATACTGATAACACTGTACAAAATATCAGAGATTTGTTACAAAAATTATATGCAGAAGTAAGACTTATTCGTTATTATTGATAATTCTTAATAACTATTTTTTATACTATTCTATGAAGAGTTGCGTATGGAGTATAATTGACATAATTATTATCTTGAGCAATATGATTTATAATATTGTCATATTAGTTATGCTGTATTATAATTTAGCAATAAAATAGAATAAAAACATTACTTTAAAATATAAATAATAAAATTTGAAATTTTATTTATTTTTATTCATTTTAATTCATTTAATCTTGATTTTTTTATTTCAGATTTACGTGGAATATGTTGTAAAAAACACTGAATGTGAAATGGGAAGACCTATTGAGAGTGAATTATTCAAATTGAAACTTGATCAATTTATAAAAGAGCATTTTATGAAAAGTGTGCAATAAATAATATAATATAAAATAATTTTAAAATTATGTAAGTTATGTACTAAACTAATAACATAATTATTTGAAACTTTGAAAGTATTAAATTATTATATCTATTTAATTATCAGTCTTGGGGTTTTTTTTATTATGACTGTGGTGTCACTGTGTTAGTGTATTACCTGTTAATCCCCTCCATTGTTCATTGTAAATTGTAAACAAATTTGAATTATAACATGATATAAACAATATCATGAATCATAAATCATAATATTATTTAATATTTATTATTTATTCTACTATCCAGAATTGAGATTTGTCTTGATTCCTATCTTTTAGTGTCTTGACTCTTGGGGTTCTACTGATCTCTACATTTTTTATTTAAAACTATGCTACAATCAGCAGTAGCTATTGGCTATGTTAGAAAGTAGTTTAGTAATTGAATATAGAATAATTTAACAAAAGTATTGATTTTTCATAATTGGTGTTGAATAATATCTGATTGTCTTTAATTGTTGTTTTTGTGAATTATATCTAATAGAAATGTTTGTATTTGAAATTAAGTGTTATGTTTCTAAATCATTCTGTTTATTTAATGTTGACCTTTCGTTGCTATAGCTATACAGATACCTAATCTATTAGACATTAATACATTCAATTTTTTCTGAAATTGTTTGAAATGAGTTTGTATCCTGAATATAAGATAAAAACTAATCAAAATTATATAACTGTATAACTGGATTATATATATGTTATAATTGCACCAGACTCTTATGCTTCCTCATTTCGTATACAAACATTTAGAAATATTACTTACTCAGTGGAAAAAGGTTATTATATTATTATTTTTCATATTACTGAAATTATATTTACTATATTGTTATGTAAAAATTTGAAATTCAAACACTCATAAAAATGTCATTAGAGTTTCCGGTTGTTTTTTTTTTTTTTAATAAAAGTAGACAAACTTGTGAAGAATCTTGTATTACATTTTCAAATCTTAGATTTAAAAAGAAAAACTTTTACGAATTCTTAACTCAAAATAATTTGCTAATTTTCATGATTTTTCCATATTTTGTCAATTTTTGAACTTTAAATGTTTTTAAAAAAAACTGTGACTAAGCATTTTTAATATTTTTCATCTGCCTTTGAAACAATATACTAGGGGCCTTCTATTAAGTGTTCAAACTTTTTTAACCTACAAATAAAATTTTATTAATATTTTTAGAAAAAAATAAATGGAAAATGAAAATGTCCCTAAACAGTTCAAAATAAATCAAAATATTTTGAAAATTATATCGTACATAGAAAATGCTAATATAAACAACAAGTAAACATTTCATGTAACTATACCTACGGTCATTTACGGTTGTTAGTTTTGGAGTTACGCCTAAAACCAAAATCGATGTTGTCAAAAACTGATATATTGTAAAAATTCCCGTTTTTTATTATTTTATCTTTGTTTTCTCGGCGCTTTCGAACACTAATGGGAAGGTCCGAAGGTGGGATTATGAACTCTTCAATACACAAAATAGATTCACTTTCCCATGGAACAAGATACTGAAGTTGAAATTCAAAACAATTTTTCGTGTACACAGACAAAAAAAATAAAATAAAAGGGCTCTACTGAACAGTATGTTACAAGTGGGTCACTGTATAATGGATGGTATCTGAATTCAATGATATAATATTGTATAAGAGAAACGATTCTGAGCGGAGACGGTATGTCAGTCTAGGTATAAGACATTATATACAATATACTTATCTATTTTATTAAAAAAAATTGACCTATAATAAATTCCAAATTAATCATATCACGATTTCCATTAGGTACATATCGTGTACACAGAATAGACACACAATAAAAAATTTAAAAAAAACACATCATTGTAAAATCAATACATTCATCGTTCCACTCAGAATCTAAATTCTAAGACACATCATTGTATAATTAATACATTCTTTCGCTCCGCTCATAATTTTTAATATATTAATCGTAATAAGTATGTTTTAATTTTAATAATATCCAATAAATTGTTTCTATTTAAATAAATTAGTCAATTAGGGATAATAAAATATGTATATCACTAACTGGTAATTGAGTAATTGGTTACATTGTCGTAAGTTGGGGGGAGGGTGGTTGTGGGTGCTTAGCCTCCTCAAACTTAGGAAATACAATTTTATTATGATATACTGCAATGGTCTGCTTGCCTTTAATATATACAGCCCCCCCCATACCAAAAGGTATCTAATACAAATATACAATGCTAAATAGTAAATAGTAAATACTTATTAGTATGGTAAATAGTATTGGCTTGGCGTATTATTACTCCTTATCAGTAAACAGTAAATTAAATTGATTAGAAACAACTTTACTCTCAGCTCGCATTAATCAGTATCTCACAAAAACTATTATAAAATCAAATTCTCATTTCTTAATGCAAATGCAAGTTAAATCTTTCAAGTTTTAAAATTTTCATAAACAAAAAAAATTATTCAGTTCTTAACTCACATAATTTGATGTATATTTTAAAATTCGAAAATTAAATTAAACATCTTATAGTAATGACTGTCTACAGCATCCTCTTTGTAGATCGGAAGTGTACAATATTATATCAGAAAGAATGGAATCAATCGGGCATAAGTAGTGAAGAAGTAAATTTAGAATATTTCAACATTATCTGAGTAGAATTAGAAATATATTTCATCTATGTTCTAGGGGGCCAAATTGATGAGAAATATGTTATTTTCTGTCAAGACATTTATGTATACTATATCACCAGTTGACCCGAACCTTGATTATGCGTGTTCCAACACTGGCAATTATGCAATACATTATTTTGACTCAATAACTGGTGTTAGGTTTGTTTTAAGTACTGATAACACTATACAAAATATCAGAAATTTGTTACACAAATTATATGAAGAAGTAAGACTTATTCGTTATTATTGATAATTCTTAATAACTATTTTTTATACTATTCTGTGAAGAGTTGCGTATGGAGTATAATTGACATAATTATTATCTTGAAAAATATGATTTATAATATTGTCATATTAGTTATGCTGTATTATTATTTAGCAATAAAATAGAATAAAAACATTACTTTAAAATATAAATAATAAAATTTGAAATTTTATTTATTTTTATTCATTTAATCTTGATTTTTTTATTTCAGATTTACGTGGAATATGTTGTAAAAAACACTGAATGTGAAAAGGGAAGACCTATTGAAAGTGAATTATTCAAATTGAAACTTGATCAATTTATAAAAGAGCATTTTATGAAAAGTGTGCAATAAATAATATAATATAAAATAATTTTAAAATTATGTAAGTTATGTACTAAACTAATAACATAATTATTTGAAACTTTGAAAGTATTAAATTATTATATCTATTTAATTATCAGTCTTTGGGTTTTTTTATTATGACTGTGGTGTCACTGTGTTAGTGTATTACCTGTTAATCCCCTCCATTGTTCACTGTAAATTGTAAACAAATTTGAATTATAACATGATATAAACAATATCATGAATCATAAATATTAAATCATAATATTATTTATTATTTATTTTACTATCCAGAATTGAGATTTGTCTTGATTCCTATCTTTTAGTGTCTTGACTCTTGGGGTTCTACTGATCTCTACATTTTTAATTAAATATTATGCTACAATCAGCAGTACCTATTGGCTATGTTAGAAAGTAGTTTAGTAATTGAATATAGAATAATTTAACAAAAGTATTGATTTTTTATAATTGGTGTTGAATAATATCTGATTGTCTTTAATTGTTGTTTTTATGAATTATATCTAATAGAAATGTTTGTATTTGAAATTAAGTGTTATGTTTCTAAATCATTCTGTTTATATAATGTTGACCTTTGGTTGCTATAGCTATACAGATACCTAATCTATAAGACATCAAAACATTACATTTGTTCTGAAATTGTTTGAAATGAGTTCGTATCTTGAATATAAGGTAAAAACTAATACAAATTATATAACTACTGGCATAAGTTATCACCGCCAACTTGGTCTATTGGCAATAATATCATATACTGAAAATGACGAAACACAAATCCTTATTTGTGATGAATTAGTGAGTACCTATAATAGTCCTTAACAGTATCATCTTGCACTATTTTTCATACAATTATTCTCAGGGTGAGGATTTGCACAACTCTGGACCAAACATTTGTAAAGGCCATATAACTTCGTTTTGCTGGCATCCCACTCAGCGTACATTAGCTAGTGGCTCCAAATCTGGAGAAATATATATATGGAATGGCGGATTAGTAACTGCTTTAGACTCTATTCACGAAGAAACAATTGTATTTTCTAAATGGTCATCACTTGGTGGATGTTTAGTAACTGGGGACCAGGTTAAAAATAATTGAATCCAAATAATATATTTACTTAAAATATAATTAATAATGATTATTCAATGGTTATGATATTTGTTATATTAGACTGGTATTATAATCGGATGGAAATCTGATAGTCGAGGGTTGCTTAAAATGTCATTTAAGTCAAATGTTGGAGCCATTTTATCTAAAGACATTTCATTTAGAGCTGGAAAAGCTGCGACTGATATTTCTAATTTAGCCAAAATGGCAGTAGCTGGAGACCAAAGTGCCTTAGATATATTTAGTTCTTGGCGGCCTCGTACAACTACGTCTCATGGTCCACGCACTGTAACTTCAGACAATATAACATTTTACTGTGCTGCAGTGACTGGTAAATATTTTAAATGTCAGATTTTAATATTTTTGAGTTATTAAGTCAACATTTTTTTTTGGTAGGAGAGCTGTATTATTTTGATGAAGATGGAGAATTCAGCACTGTACTTATATCCAAATCGATTATTTTACGAATTTTATGTCATGAATCAAAAGACATTTGTATTTTAGTATGCAAGGACTTAACTGTAGCCTATTATAAATGTCATAAAAATGGTTCCTTAAGTGAAGTTTCCAAGGTTAATTAATATGATTTAGTGCAATCAACTGCAATTATA